AGACAGATGCTTTACGACAACGAGAGATTTTCCTAAGGAAGATACCAGAACATTCCATCGATGTGTGGAAGCTGAGAAAATGGTATATAGGCGCTGAACAAAGTCAAAGAATTGTCAAACTTGTAGACAACACTCTGCTGCTTTTAAGCCCACTAAATTCAGGCTGTGTCCAGCACAAGGGACATGCACGGCAAACTCGTGCTTGCAATCCAGTGTAGCGTCCAGACATATAAATTTTAAGCTTTGTCATACGATTGACCACGGCAAATTGAAGGCGGAATTTCGTTCTCATTCAGGAAATCCAAAACATTGTCTGCTAGATCCTTTGATACACAACAGTGTCTGTTAGATCCTTTGCTCTATGGCAAAATATGGAAACTAACTTGATAAAACGTTCCACAGACTTACATCGTCGAATGTACCGGACCGTAAATCACAGTTGATCAATGTGTGAAATGTCTGGAGTGAAATCATAACTTATTGAATAATACTTTGAATCTTTAATTTCTTCCAGAATAGCATAAAGGACATGTTGCCCCATTAGATCAACAAATTTTTCTCAAATATTTGCCGACAGATATGATGTGTTACCCTTTCCAGCATTTCCATACAGTTTGAGATACTCTTCCAAAAAAAAGGTTAAATTCACTCAGCAGCTCTAAAATACCCTAATCAATTTCCATTGTTTACTGACCCAATAGTTTGACCCAAACCTCTGGAGGCGAGAAAGCCAACGACATAAACCCCACGAGTCAGAACCTTATGTCAGTACTTCTGTTTTGACCTATTGTCTTTGATTAATTAAGGACCTAAACACCTAAAGTTTCTTTCAGTCGAAGAAAACATGCGGTCATGTCCTTGCGATGCACTACTCCTTTCCATGTTCTACATTTAGATTGTTATTTTCCAGTACTTAAATCCTGATATAGCAAAGGGAAATACTTTTTTGGACAATAGACGACACGCAAAACACTACAAACCACCTTGGTATCGTGAATAGAGAAGCCAAAACAATACAAACCACCTTGGTGTGGTGAATAGAGAAGCCAAAACAATACAAACCACCTTGGTGTGGTGAATAGAGAAGCCAAAACAATACAAACCACCTTGGTGTGGTGAATAGAGAAGCCAAACCAATACAAACCACATTGGTGTGGTGAATAGAGAAGCCAAACCAATACAAACCACCTTGGTGTGGTGAATGGAGAAGCCAAAACAATACAAACCACCTTGGTATCGTGAATAGAGAAGCCAAAACAATACAAACCACCTTGGTGTGGTGAATAGAGAAGCCAAAACAATACAAACCACCTTGGTGTGGTGAATAGAGAAGCCAAAACAATACAAACCACCTTGGTGTGGTGAATAGAGAAGCCAAACCAATACAAACCACCTTGGTGTGGTGAATAGAGAAGCCAAAACAATACAAACCACCTTGGTGTGGTGAATAGAGAAGCCAAACCAATACAAACCACCTTGGTGTGGTGAATAGAGAAGCCAAACCAATACAAACCACCTTGGTGTGGTGAATAGAGAAGCCAAAACAATAAAAACGACCTTGGTGTGGCGAATAGAGAAGCCAAAACAATACAAACCACCTTGGTATGGTGAATAGAGAAGCCAAAACAATACAAACAACCTTGGTGTGGTGAATAGAGAAGCCAAAACAATACAAACCACCTTGGTGTGGTGAATAGAGAAGCCAAAACAATACAAACCACCTTGATGTGGTGAATAGAGAAGCCAAAACAATACAAACCACCTTGGTGTGGTGAATAGCGAAGCCAAAACAATACAAAAAACCTTGGTGTGGTGAATAGAGAAGCCAAAACAATACAAACAACCTTGGTATGGTGACTAGAGAAGCCATTCAAGTTTTACATACTCGCCATGCCGCAGTTCACGTTTGAACACATTTCTTGATAAATACCTTGTCTTAGTTCTTTCTTCTCCAGCTCTGCCTGAGTTTGAAAGGTTGCAGTCATGATTCTGACACAATGATGGCCCACCGCGAATTCAGTACTCAACTGTACAAATGTTCTTAATATTCCAAAGCCCGGGATCTGTGTGGTGAATCACAGACTCTCGTTTTCTGACACAGCTCTGTGTGGTGAATCACAGACTCTCGTTTTCTGACACAGCTTTGTGTGTTGAATCACAGACTCTCGTTTTCTGACACAGCTTTGTGTGTTGAATCACAGACACTCGTTTTCTGACACAGCTTTGTGTGTTTCAATATTTACACTTTCCCCGTCAGAGGAAATGGGTAATGGTATTGTCTGGAACTAGATGGCTGGATCCAATAGAGGATGTAGATGAGGCTTTTTTATTTTGATGAGCAGCATTAGTCACTGATATTTCGATTGGATTTAACCAAGGTGTTAATTTTGCAAGTTTACCCGTTTTCCTTGTCTCCTCGGCTCTTTTTCTTTGCTGTGCTCCAATTATAAAACTATTTTTTTATTCCCGGTTAAGGGGTTAAACACGTAGAAATATATTCATTGGTTACAAGTATTTCTATAGTAATAGCAGCAATCCGTTTAAAAGATACAGGTAATTATTTTTTTTAAAATGGATTTGTCTGTCCCTTCAGACTGACACGTGCCCTGCTAAAAATGAACATCTGGAAACGATCAGTAGAAATGGTGCCATTCATTAATAAAAATCGGTCGCTGTGTTTGAGCTACCCGGTATGTAAGATGAAAATCACTTTGAGCTTTAAACAGTTATGTCTAAATGCCTATATATTTCTACCTACAGCTCAGACATACGGTAACTGTTGGTTTCTATTTATCATCTTAATGTTTTTCAGACACAGAACACAAAATATTTTTTTCTGTTGAAAAAATATTAAGTTATTTGGGTTTTTTTTGGTTTTTTTGTTTTTTTTTTTTTTTTTTTTTTTTTTAAATAAAGTTACTTTTAAAAAGAATTATTCATTGGTGACCTACAAATTCCTGATATAATGCTAATTAATTTCAGTAGTACTTTAACTGGTGCTAAGATAGATTTTTATCCACTAATTTCAGTACGGAGCAGAGGCGTATCTAGGGTTATCACCACCCGGGGCCAACATCTTTGTCTAACATGATTGTAAACAAATACTCTAACTTTATTATTTTTCGATTCATATCTGGGAGAATTAAAACGTGTTGACGAGAGTTATTCCCCTTCAATAGTTTAAAAAGTATCCAACTTGTAATTCGCCTTTATAACATTAATTTTGTAACCTGCCGATAAAATCGTGGGTTATTGGTAAACGTGCTGTCCACCGATTTTTAAATCAAATTTAATTGCCAAAACTTTTCAATATTCATTAACAATATTTGCAGCATGATGCCTTTATAAGAGTGAGTCTCCTAGGAGCAATGGCCCCCTAGAAGCGTGGGGCCCTGGGTAAGTGCCCACTGTGCCCATGCCTTAAGACGGCATGTCTATTAGTCAACACCAGCTGCATTCGTTGACTGACGTCACTTGGTGGCCCATTTCTCCCACCCGTTTAAGTCGAATTTTTTTTAATCTTTTTTTTTTTTAAAGATTCATTTTTTTAAAGTTTTCATTTTATCTAGCTCAATTTACATCGAATCGATTACATTTAAAACTTTGTAAATAATTATATTTTTTTAAACATGATATCATCATACAATTTATAAATAAAACCTATCCCTACTTTAAAAGACTTCAAAAGTTTCAAGGCTGCCCTGGCACCCGCTAGGTGCCGTTAGGATAGCCGCAACGTTTCCCAAACCGTTGCACATACGCCAGTACATGGATGCAGCACGTACCCTATCAGAATCAAACATGCTTTAATTATGAAATGTAATTTGAAAACAGATTGCAAATGTTTAATACTTAGCATGAACTGTATTAAAATTATTAACCTTTATATTAATGGAAAGGTCGTTTTATGCAGTGTTAATAAAATCTTTAAACTTGCGAAGTTACAAAACTTAAATAAATAAAAATGCCGTTATATTATTATAAGCAACAACAAAAAGTAAGATTTCGGCTTTAATTATGACAGAAGCGGCAATTTTAGGCACAATTTTCGATATTTATAATCGAATAGTGTAGTGTAGGCCTCTAACAAGATTAGCCTTAAATATACAGACACGCTAATATATTTAGTGTATCGATATTTGATCTGTTCCACTAATAGTAATTAGTTCAAGTTCACTGCAACAGTTACAATTTTTTAAAGACAATTGAGTCGTTTTTATTTAAATAAAATAAATGTTCGTTTTATTGGTGCACACATTCCACCCCCCCCCCACCCCACCCCACCCCCCGGCACATGACTAGCTTGCATGAGGGGGGGGGGGGTTTACGGAACCCTCCCGGTTTTTAAAGACAATTGAGTCGTTTTTATTTAAAAAAAATAAATTTTCGTTTTATGGGTGCACACATTCCCCCCCCCCCCCCCCCCCCCCCCCCCCCCGGCACATGACTAGCTTGCATGAGGGGGGGGGGGGGTTTACAGTACCCTCCCGGAGAGATGCCTAAAAGAAAGACGGCCCGCGCACTACTCTGCTTCTGCGTGCCATTGGCCATTGATTGGAAATGGTTCTTTGAGCAACGCCGGCAGACAGTGTCTGGGAAATTTGACACTGACACAGTGTTTTGTATGAGTTGAGGGAAAGGGAACATAATTCTTAATTCATACAAATATAGAAATAACCTTTTTGAATCGAAATTAAATTTATAAACATATTTTTTACAACAAATTTCATTTAAGAGTTTAAACTGGTTGATTTTTTGCTGTTGCTGGTAATTATACCATCCATGTTATTTACAATCACCTGGCAACGCGTAAACAGAAGTAGCATATGGCCCTATCAAACATTAAGAAAACCGTTTCTGCAAAATACTGCCAGTGGTAGTTTACATTTTTTCGATAAGTGTTTATCCACAATGAAATAAAAGAACGTAGCCGATGCAACAGATATAAATATAAATTCTTTGCTCTGAGATTTTTTGTATTCATTTTTTTAATGTAAACATAACGTTAATGAAGCTATAACTAAAACTAAAACAGTGTTAAAATATTGTTATTTAAGTAAAATTTTAACTTTACCCAGGTGGTTTTTTCCCTGAAAATGGAAGCAACGTACATTAGAGGCGACGATGGTATACCAGTATTAGTTGATAGTTCGTATAGTCCTTCCACTTCTAATGGCTCTAAACCAGAAAAAAATGACAATAAAGACGCTATCTATACAAAGAAAGAAAAAGAATCTAAAGCCCTTAGACGCCCTAGTCACGAAGAAGTTATAAAAGCTGTCTTCACCATTGATGGAGAAGGTTTTGATGTTATTCTTTCTGAAAGAAATGGAAGAATTTCATGGTCAACAATGAGTGCTTTAGGTTAGTGATCAAATAAAGTAGTGTTAGTGTTAGACATCCACATAGTCTGTCATAGTAGAACATTTTTAAAAAATAATTTGTAAGCATTTTATATCTTTAAATATATATAGATATAAATAATAAACAATTAAAAGTAAATGAGTTTAAGTTAAAGGCAAGGTCATTTTCATTTAAAAATTAGGCATAATTTATAAATTATGCAAAGTCATTTATTATGAATATTATTTTTATTTGAAAAATTGCATTTTTAGAAAGAAAATTTTTTAATTTGCAGGTCCACGAAGTAAATCATCTAGGCGATTATCAGGAATTTTACAAAGTCGGCACTCAGCCATCATTGAGAATAAAGCAGTAGATGGTATAGATATATCAACATTATTTGGTGCTCGGGTAAAAAGACAACAAAAGAAAGGAAATGAGAAAGAAGAAGAAGGGCAGTGCTTAGGTGTTATTCTCAGTACCATAGAAAAAAAAAATCATAATACTTTAAGAGAAAAGACTGTATTTTTGGAGCATCCTAGCAATGAGCTATGTTCTTCTTGGGTATCTAAAATAAAGGAGTGCATTAGATGTAAATATTGCAGCTTTTCATTTAAAAAATAATGTATAAAAAATTTGATTTATATAATGTAGCAAATTTAAATTTTGTTACTTTAATCAATATAATGTTAACCGTTAGAAAACATTTATGTAAGTAGTTTTTAAATATTGGGGAATATAATTTTTGTCAAAGAAATTCATAAAACACTGGATTTATTACACTGGCTCATCATGTTATATACCACAACTTTTAATTAAAAAACATGCATTTTCATTAATTAAAGAAGTATTTTTCAGCTACTCACCAAAGGCCTGCATTAATAAAATTGTTTTTACAACCATATGCTGGTAGCAAAAAAGGTCGTGTCATTTATACAAAAACAATTCTTCCATTGTTTCAAAGTGCTGGTGTCAGTGTTGATCTTTCAGGTATTTAAAAAAAAATTGTTCTTTCTATTACTTAGTCATTTAAGAATACACATACATGTCCATAAATTAAACAGCAAAATAGAGTTGATTAGATGGGGTGGATGCTGCAGTGGTAGTGAGAGGTGTGGTGGTGAACTAATGACGCTACGTTGCTACAAATACAAATTTAAAATGCGTTGTAATGTAGTATTTTTTTTACACTCCCCCACAATAAAATTTTTTTTGAAATAATATAATTTTTAATGCATTTGAGGTTTATGTAATTTCTGTTAGCTAAATAATATTATTGAGCAATAGACCTAAATGAGTTAATTCTCAACAGAGATAAAACATAATGAATATGTGAAACAAGAAATGGCTCATTTAAATTTGGAAGACTATGACTGGTAAGTTCATGATAATGCTCTTTATAAAAAGTGTTGGACTGCGATAAAGCTTTAAAATAGATTAATTAGACAACAACAATTTGTGTCAGTATAACAACATGAGGTAAGCTTTAATGATTATTTTGCAGAATACAAAAAGTATACGTTTTAGCACATGCCTTCATCAGTACAACAAAAAGAAAAAATAAGTATCAATTAAATTTACATAATATATACAGATGTCCTACCTAAAAAAGGAGGGAGAAAAAAATGGAGTGCGCGAAAAAAACAGACAGAAGCAAAGGAAAGTAAAATATAAAGGAAGTAAAATTATCATTAAAGCTTACCTTATATTTTTAAATTGACACAAATTGTTGTTGTCTAATTAATGCTCTTTAGCTGAGCGAGTTAAATCCTTCAAATTTCTATATTTTTTAACAAATAATTTAACGTTGTAACAACCCACAATGTATATTTATCTTATCAGCTCTTTGAAATTTATTTATATATCTTTTAAATTATTTTAGTGCATTAAACAGTCCCTAACGTTACCAAAAATTTCTTTTTTTTTTTTTTTTTAAATTATTTTGTGATTAGTTTTATGTCCTAATACTAATATAATTGAATATGATTTCCAATTAATAATATAACAGGATTTGTTCAATTTTTGTTCGTTACCAAAAATTTCTTTTTTTTTTTTTTTTAAATTATTTTGTGATTAGTTTTATGTCCTAATACTAATATAATTGAATATGATTTCCAATTAATAATATAACAGGATTTGTTCAATTTTTGTCAAAATAGAAATATTTTGTAAAATGCATTTCATGTTTTTATATTCTGAAGCTAAATACACACAGATTATTAAGAATTAATGTATGTTAAGACTGTACTGAATATTTGTTTTATTATTCACTTCATTGCTGAACAATGCAAATTTAGGTTATTTTTAAATGAGTCTACTATATTTGTATGCAAATATTCAATTAGATAACATTGATTACATAGTACTACCTTTAAATTATTTTTTTTTAATGCACCTCTTTGAAATGGCAGTAATTTTTTTATAATTTTCATTGGACTTCATTCATATTTGACAAGAAATAGAAAACTTTTCATTTCAACCGTACTATTCATTTACTTTTGATTGCTATCTGCCTGCATTCCCTGTGTTTTATCTTGATGTTTTGCAAAAACCTTTATTATTCATAACAGCATAGTATGTATGGGTGGTGATGGTACAGTGTATCAGGTGATGGATGCTCTTATGAATCGTGCTCAGAAGGAGAAAGACATTGAAATGAAAAGTGGAACCAATCCTGTTCGCTCCCCTGTTCCTCTTGGAATCATTCCGATTGGTAAAAATAAACCATAAACATTTTAATAAGCCAAACTGCATAGAGTTAAAAAATCCTTATAATTATACATTTTCTGAAAGTGCATTGATTTACAATTTACCAGCATCATAACAGCGATAGTCATGCAAATAAAAAAACTACATCATTGTGAATATTAAATGAAAACAACACCTTATGTCGGATTGTACATAAGGCCCAACAATAACCTTTTTCAGTATTCCTCCTTAAAAAAAAAAAAAACATACACCCAACTAATTTTTAAGGTGTAGAAGTAATGCTTGTAATTAGCATTTTATACATTTCTTAAATTGACTTTTTGGCAGTTATATGCAAAATAAAATGTGTATTTGAAATATAATTTAATAATTGTATTGTCAAACTAAAACAGTTTTGGTAAAATAGTTGTATTTACTTAGTTTACATGTTTTAATAATTGTAAAGCACTTAGAGCTTTATGATAAGCGCTATATAAAAATGCCTAAATAAATAAATAAATAAAATAAAATCATTTTTGTTGCAATACTGTCTTTAGACCAGCTCTCAATTAAAAGAAAAAAAAAAAAAAGACCCTCTCTCAAAAGAATTGGACAGTTCCAATCCACACTAGTTTACTAAATTATAAATACAAGTACAAGTCCATACCTAAGTTTATAATTATTATTCTCTAAAAACGTAGTTACTTAAGACTAAATAATTTTGCTGCTAATTTATTAATTACATGGCATATTTGTGTTTATATTTAGGTAAGACAAATAATATAGCCCAATCAACAATGGGTGTTGCAGACGAGGTCACAGCAACTTTGCATATTATTCATGGTAAGTTAAAAAGAAGTGAATTTTTACAAAAACTTTAAGTCAATAAATATTTAAGATTGCATTAATATTTTAATTTATTGATTTTTCTTTTTAAACATTCCTATTCTTTAAAAATAAATAACTTGAATAAACTAACATACGAAAATGAATATTTTGTCACTAAATTATTTCATGAGCTACTTTTCCAAAATTGCAATATTTTATTTAACATATTTTTTTGTTTGGAAAAGCAGTTACTTATAGATTATAAGAATCTGGCTTTATACTTGTTATTGGTTTTTACAATGCATTGCCAACTGCTCCACTTAACAGGTCAGATTGACATATATTTTTTTTACGTTAAAAAACAACAGTTGAAATCTATTTTTAGAGTAGTCAAAGCTCCACCACAGAGCTAGCGCCGGCCATTCCAGCTAACATGTATCTAACCCCACAGAAGCCAGGTCACTTAATCAGAGCCATATGCTCAATAAACACTGACTTCACCTCTGAAAACTCCATGAGCAGTTACATCCGGAACAATGATAAATGCTTCACTGTGCCTCGGTGTAACACAGTTCAATATAAACATTTCTTCTTCCCACGAACAATAATTGCTTGGAACCAACTAGACATTGCTGCCGTGGACTTGACATCAATTGAGAGTTTCAAGGCTGCCCTGGCATCCGTTAGGAGCAGTTAGGACAGTCGCATCGTTTCCCAAACAATTACACGTATGCCTGTACTTGGTTGCAGCAACGTAGTCTATCAGAATCAGAACTTTGTAATTCTATTTCCATGTCTTCATTTTTGAGATTATACATTACATTTATTTACTATATTTATGATTTATATTTTTCAGGCAACACACAACCTGTAGACATATGTGGTATTTATGCAGCTGAAAAATTTTACCACTGGGCATTTAATAGTCAGTATGGCTTTGCTGGCCAGGTATTGTCATTATTGGGGAAGTACAAGGCTTTAGGAAGCAAGAAATTAGATGCTGCTGCTGTTAAGGCTCTCACAAAAACAAAGTTGAGGTAATTTAGGAGCTGGCTATATTTGCTTATTATAATTTAAGTTTTTGGAAATGCTCAAGCAAAATTAATTGTGCCCTAATAAATTATGAATAGTTCCAATAATAATTAACTGTAATAAATATTTTTTTAATAACTTTTCAACTCTCTGATATTACTATTAAACAACCTCTGAAAACAATGTTTTCCGTATAAATCCTTTATAAGCATTTTGTGTGATTTAGCGATGGCTCCAGTTCTTTTGACATCATTGCATCATATATCCTCCCTCTTCCCCTTGAAAAACATAGGAAAAACGTTTTCTTGGGGTTGTGGCTGAAAATTTGATAGGATGTGTTGTCCTTGGCAACAGGTCTAGGCTTGATAAGATGACAGGAAGTGGGTCAATTAGCCTTCCAAAGATTTTTCTAGAAAGAAACACGACAAAAGCAAAGTTAATATAATTCTTTGGGGTGGGTTTTACACATGCTCAAAAAAGTGTCAGCTTGATAGGTTTGATATGAAGTGGGTCTATTAGCCATCCAAATAGTTTGCCAGCCAGCCACGAATAAAAGCAAAGTTAATATAAAGGATTTAAAAACTTATCATTTTTTTTTAATAAACACTTCTCAAATATTTTGTTATATTTTTAAAATCACTTTTTTTGAGCACGTGCACACCACCAGTGATAATTTAAGAAGAAAAAAAAAGAAAAGATTATTTAATATTGATTTAAAATGTTTCTAGTAAGGCATAGGCATAGGCTGGTAGCTATTTAATGAGGAATGTCCATTTAGACAGAGCAAAGTGTGAAGTTAATCATAATTCGAGGGTAGAGAAACAGTTCTTAGCACGATGCGGAAAAAGAAAGTCACAGGAAGGTAAACTCTAGAGATGCCAAAACTAAATTGGGAACTAATAAAAGGGGACGGTTAGTGGGGACTAGATCAGAAGTCAGCCAGAGGACAGTCAGGGAGAACTCAATCAGAGAGAAGCATCAGAGGGTAGAGCGGTACATTTGAAGGACTGACTGCGACAGTACAGAGAGACAAGCCGTGACAGTTGAGTTGATACTAGAAAGGTGGAGGGAATAGCAGAGAAATAAAGATCAAAAGCTATAGCCATCGACATGTATTCTGTTACCTGATAGTTGCAATACTAGTGTCAGAGTAACCATTGATGAGTAGTCTTTTTCCTGATTGTTGCACTACTTATGACAGAGGAAGTCAGTGTCATCCACCAAAAGTATTAAAGAGCATGAGCAATAAAGAGCATAAAGCATAGCTCATTTACATGGAAATCTTGCTTGTTCATGTATTAAGAAACCCATCTGGCCAGAGGTTTTAGTGCAAATCAACAGCTCATCAATTGTAACACTGGATTAACTGAGTACTATTAGTATTAAACAAAAACGCAAATGATCTTGATTTTAAAACACAAATCCCTTAATTTTATGACCTCAACGGACATAATAAAAGATATCTCCATCTATTTATTAAAATTGTTATTGTTTGGGTTTTAAACATTCTTAATTACACATTTCTAATTAGTTGATATTCCTCATCTGTTACATTTTTTTTAATCCATGAAAACATAGGCTGCTCTAATAAATGTGCAATTATTTAAAAACTTACAATTTATCTGTACGTGACATAATAAGAAAACCACTCCAAATGTGATCCATTAGGATAAACAATGTTAACAATTTTGCTCTTCCTGAAATTAATTTTATATTTCACAGAGCTTATGAATGTGATATTGAGTATATCCCAGGAGATGTTCCTGATGCATCACAAAACACACCATGCAGAACTGGGTAAATTCAAATTTGCTGGATTTTAATTTTTGAAATAAATTGATTGCACACTTGTGTTAGTGCATTTAGTCATTTTTTACATAGGTTTTGCATTAAAATTTTTAGAAATAAAACATTCTAAAGATGATATTAATCAGTAAATTCAATTTCTATATATTTTTATTTTTAAATGTCAGAGTATATGCATTTGTTAATAAGTACAGTCCCCCAAATATCAGTGTGAAAATCCTTGCTTAGGTGTACAGTATGTTGGGATGAAGCTGTTTTAAAGGATGTTCAGGAAGAGCCAACTTCAGATCTAGTCCAAGAGATCAATCCCCTTGACCAGTCTTTTACAAGCAGTACCAGCTCTATTATTGGTATGTCTTATGCTTAGGAGCCATCAATAAATGAGGATGATGTCACACTATGTTGGCCATATTTTGAGCCTCCTCATTACACATATTTTTAAAAATTTCAACACCCTCAACTCAATGTGACAAAATCATGCCCACTCCCCCGCTGAATGTGTGACATCATTTATTGAAAGCCATTATGTTAACCATAAAGTTAGGGCTAAATTTAAAAATAATGGGCATTCATTAATACTTATTAATAGTATACCATGTCCCATTAAAAATGATCTTTTCACTAATTCTACTTTGATTTTCTCATTTAGGAAGTGCTCATAAAATGATCTTTTAACTTAAAAATAAACTCTTACCTCAAAGATTAAATTTTACTACCTATATTCTCTATTTGGCATTCCACTGATTAAATCAAATTCTTATTTTGCAATAATATATGCTAATATTATTTCAAGGACGGAGGTTTAATATTCTCTGATAAGAGATATTAATGGTACAAGTATTTTAATATTTGTTTAAATTACCTTCCACAAAATTTTTCAGAACTTCCACAAGATAATCCTTGGCGTTCTCTTAAAGGGATATACATGAATGTAGGCCTGTTTTGTATATCAGGCATGTCAGATTATGCACCTCAAGGATTTAGTCGATTTACACATCTTAACAATGGAATCATGGACTTGATGTTGGTTAAAGAAGTTGAAAGAAAGGAATTTGTTCGTCATCTTAGAAGATTTGGAAATTCAAAGGACCCGGTATAATTTAATATTATAATTTAAACATTACTCTTCATAATTCTGATAAGGAGATCCATTTTTTTACAAACATTGTTAGGTCTATTCACCTATAAATCTTAAGTTTTTCTAACATATTTTTTTATTAAACTTAATATTTTTTTATTTTAAAATACTCACTTTTTTCTCAACAGTATGATTTTCCATTCATTGAGATGTACAGAGTGAAAGAAGTTCGATTTCGGCCTCGGTACCCCAAAGGCTGGAATTACAATGACCATGATTACAATGAAATCAAATATCAAGTAAGTAGTAAATTTATTTAATGTTCACCTTATTTTTTGAAAAACACTATTAAAAAAAAAGGTATAAACTAAAAAATTATAAAATTATTAGAAGCTTACTTTCAAGCAAAATGGGCATAGTGCTTTGCATTTTTAGTGTTACCAATTTTTATCCTGTGATAATATGGGGCTACATTTTCTTTCATTAATATTTTTTGAAAATGTATAACATCTAATCTGTTGAAAACTTTTTATATTAATGCATGAGGAGGAAAAACTGAATTGTAGGCCTAATCTTTTACGTAAAAATATTGGGTATGTTGAGACATAAAGGTTCAAAACTACCGCCTAATTGGATTTTTTTTTTAGATGACAAGAGAAGAATCTCAGTTGCAAGGAAAAAAAAGTGTAAAAGTAGTTGATGACCTTGGAAACTCCTCTAAATCCCAGAGTGTAGCAACCTTGGACTTATCAGATAATTCTGATTCAGATGAACAGGAAGATACTAAAGCCAAGGAAGAAAAGGTAAATTTCTTTTAAAGTGGTTTTAAAACATTGTTATCAATTATCTTTTAAAATGAAAGAGTGTAGCCAATTACTCAATGCAGTGGTGTAGCTAGGGGGTTTCGGACCACACCGGGTGACACCATGTCGGGGGGGGCGGGGGGGGGGGGGGGGGGGGGGGGGGAGTGAAAAAAATGCATATTTACAGAGCACACACTGATCGTTCTAACTGAATTTCATAAAAAGGTTACCCAATCACGCATAAATTTTCCAAACATGTAACCAATCCAAATGCGTGCTTTATTAAAAGTTCAAGGTTGATGCATCAGAAATGAGGTGAACCAATAATTAGGTCAGAAAAACATCCAAAACCCAGTAATGAAAAAAAAATATTTTCACCTTATTATTTGAGCACAATTGTCATATTACGACTGCTGTGTTTTACCTGCCACCTTTGTGTGTTGTATTTTGGATAGTGCTCTGACTGTTGCTTTTCAACTGTTGTAAGTAATTATTTTGTTTCGTACCTTGAACACAACACAATTAAAGCCTTTTTATTGTTCAAGATTATTCTATCATGGAACATGGCGTGCACAAATCTTAACGGCCAAGTAGCTGCCAGTAGTGCAAAGCAAAAATTAAAAAGATGTGACCCATTAAAATCACTACTAGGATCCATGCTTCGATATGTCCAGAAACCAAATGATGACCAGGGCTCATCAAAAGACGTTCCTTAGTCTACCAATGATACATTCAAGCAGCCTACATTCTATGAAAAAACAAATAGTCCAGAAAATATAAGAGATTTATGTTGAAATGCAAGTAAAAGACATTGATGGCTTGGAAACGGAAATGAGCCCTGATAATGTTGATCAAACCAAGATGCAAGATACTGTAAATGTGATAGTTGGAATATTTTATCAGATGCTTCTCTCTGGAATTTACCAGATCCATATCATTTTCAGTCTTAAATTATTAAATTAGGGGGTACCTTGTTCCAGAGCTAGGGCGGACCATTCAGCATAGTGACAAGGCAAGATGTGAAATCTAAAGGAAATGTACACCAACTAATAAAACAATGGTTATACCAAATGATGCCAAATGGCGAGAAAATACTGCAGTCATGGATGGTTTATTCACTCCCTGTCAGAAATTGTACTGTTTTTGCTGCAGCTTGTTTGCTGTTAATGTTACAGAAACAACATTCAAATTTGTTACTGGATTTGATAATTGGTGGCAACTGAGCATCATTAAAAAATTATGAAACATTGGAAGTACACTATGTCTCCTGGAAAAATGAAAAGCATTGACAGCAGGACTTAGGCTACACAAAACAATTAATTCCGAAAGTATTACTGTGATGGACAGGGAGAAGAAAAAGTGGAGGCATATCCTACACTGGTTGCTGGATATCACACTGTTTCTTGCAAAGCAAAATCTTGCATTTTGTGGCCACAACGAAGATGAAGCTTCATTGAATAGTGGGAACTTTCTTGAAATGGTTGAGATGCCATCCTAATATGAACCAGTGCTTAAAGAGCATCAATTGAGACTAAATAGGAGTACATCTACAGTAAAAGCATCTGCATCTTACCTTTCACCAGAAACCCAAAATAAATTTATAAATGTCCTTGCAAGTGAAGTGATGTGAAGGAGATTCTTATCATGGATATAAAGGCTGCGAGGTATTTTGGAATTAAGGTCGACAGTACACCTGATATTCTCACACTGCCCAGATGTCTGAAGCAATCAGATATGGAAAAATCCATATTGGAAAAGTTGCAGTGAGAAAAGTGTTTCTTGGATTTTTCCCTTTTAAGGGGGAAAAAAAACTGATGACTTCAGTTCTGACTGACATCTTTTTCTTTATTTTGAAAGTTCACGATCAAGGTATTGATCATTCTGGCTCCTACATTATTCAAAATCTAAAATGTGATGGACTAGACATAATGATGTGCAGAGCTCAAGGTTACAATAATGCTACCAAAATGTCTGGAATCCATGGAGGTGTTGAGGCCATTCTAAAAATAAAAATAAGAAAGCGATGTTCAATGGATTTGTGGGCCATTCACTTAAACTTGTGTGGTCAACACTCTTTTCCTGAAAATGCTTCATGTATAACATGTTTTGGTAATCTTATCCTGAGAGAGTATTTTCCTTCTTTGCTGCATCCACTCATTGATGGGATGTTTTAATTGAACACACTGGAATGTAGGTGAAAGACTGCCAACAACACATTGTATTATAATAAATATTTAATTTATTCATTATCTTAGAGTATGGTTTCCCAACCTATGGTGCTTACACTCTTGAGATGGCATTTTGGGGTGTGCAAGGAAACATGATTATAAAAACAAAGAAGCTACAGCTCTCTTTGTAATCCAGTAATAACAATTAGAAGCCCATTATTTAAATATTTTAAAATGCATTGTTGCTTTTGTAGGGGGTGCGAGACCTAGCCAAAAAGTTTAAAGGAAGCGCAACATTTTAAAAAGGTTGAGAAACCCTCTCCTAGGGGAATCAAGATTTAGTGCTGACTTCTGATAAAGAGAAGTTGGACAAATGCTTGTAAATGTGACATCTTTTTCAGGCACCTGAACGCCTTCTTGGGCCAATGTATCGAAAGACTTTTTCAGAAATTGAAATGGAGAAGCATAAACAACATGTTAGGAGAAAAGAGGAAAAGTTGAAAGTAAAAGAAGAGGCCAAAATGGTATCGGTGTGGAATATTGACAATCAACTTGTGAAGCAGCTGGAACTGGATTTTAAGTATGTTTACTCAATGATTTATTTTTTTTAGTCAAAATTTTCAACAAAATAATATTTCCCACCTAGCGGAGGGTGTGCTACATCGTTTTGACATGTCAAGGGCATTAATAACTTTAATTATTTAATTCTTGAAGAAACACAAATAGTATAGAATTCATTTAAACTTCAATCAGTTTTATATGTTTATTTATAGCTTAATTTAAATGCTCAACTATTTCTCATTCAACAGAATTTATCATGGACTGTTAAGAATATGTGGTTTGGGTGTCTCTGCAAATACCGAATATGAGGATGTTCGACTGGGCTGTTTGTCAGGGATGTAAGAACCAGTGTCATAGCCCAATCACTTGAACAAATGTTCACAAGAAAATGAAGAAACTGTCAATGAGATGACCATTATCAGAAAGCTTACATATGCAATGTGCATCACATCAAAAGGATTCTCATCGACTTACTTTTGTGTCAAGAAAATAGTTCTATTTATAGCATTTACACTGCCGGCCAACAGCACTTAGATCAGCATGGTATGTTGTTCACTTCAGTTCAACTGTCAAGTCTCATCTTAATGGTGGTATGTTGTGTCACTTCAGTTCAACTGTCTTATCTAACCTTAATGGTGGTATGTTGTGTCACTTCAGTTCAACTGTCAAGTCTCATCTTAATGGTGGTATGTTGTGTCACTTCAGTTCAACTGTCATGTCTCACCTTAATGGTGGTATGTGTCGTCACTTCAGTTCAACTGTCATGTCTCATCTTAATGGTGGTATGTTATGTCACTTCAGTTCAACTGTCATGTCTCATCTTAATGCTTTGATCAATTAGGTTACATTAACTTAAAAATCTGTATGTATTATGCAAGGGAAGGGAGCTTATGATTAATGTAATCTGAAAACTGTTTTTTATGTATTCATTGCCAATCAAGATTGATCTGTGCCAGTTTAAGTTTAAAAGCAATTGATCTTTGTTTTGAAATCTTAACAATACTGATAAAGATCTTGCTAGAAACATTTCATGTATAGTAGTATTATTATTATGTATGATCTAATATGTTAATGAGAAAATGTAAACGTTTTATGTTACAACTATGAGATTCAAGTCAACTATGCATTTCCAACAAAATTCTGACCAAAATAAAAGAAGCCGGATTGTTTTTTAAAATATGAGTCACTGAGAAATAAAAAGGAAATAAAAGAATAAATGACAACATCATCAAAGTTGGAAGAAACAAAACACATTTATCAATTTGAAAAAACTTTTGTGAGCCTTGGCAACCAACTTTTGTGATCCATGGCAACCAACTTTTGCGCTAAAATTTAAATGATACAAATATTTTTGTTGTAAAATTGTTACTGGGATAAATTTGCTATGCAGTTTATTATTCTTTATTTATGAAACTGCAAAATTTGTTTTTAAACTCTAAAAAGATATACCCGGTATCATCTTTCAATTTCAAGAATAACTATTTACAATCAGTTTCAAAAAATTAAACAGTAACTGATTAAACTTTATTGTTTAAATTAACTGCTCACTTTTTGCCTTGAACGGATACTTGTAATATCACTGCTGGATCAACCTTTATATGTTTTGTGACAGCATTGTTTTTATTCTTTTTATTTTAGATTCACCATTTTCAAAACTAACTTACCTGTAAATAAATTGCATATTTGATCAACATCAGTAATGATATCTTAGAATTTAATTTTGTATTTCTCTGTCATTGTCAAATTATTTGAGATAGACTATCAAAAAACAAATTCTCAATCAGAAGTACAAGTGGAGAGCACATCTTAACTTTTTAAAACAGTCAAAGCTCTCCATTAAATTATTCCAAATCAGCTAGGATAGAATATTTGAGAAATGCCTCCAACACAGTCACTCAAACATTAAACAGAAAGACAACATTTTGAAAGTTCCTGTTAAGAATCGTTTTTTTTAATGAAATTTTGAATGGTAGGAACTTCAAACAAGAACATAAACTTGAATAGCTTCATGAAAGGCAAATCTAAATCTAAGCCTTGTTTTGTCAAGATGCCATTGAAATATGATGAAATAGTGCAGTATGTTTTTTTTAACACAAACTGTTCTTTTAACATATTTTAAAGCATTTCATGACACAAATTTATAATGGCTCTACTGTGTTTCATTTTGTGGTTTTATGTTTATGCTACCACAATGGAAGTAAAGTCCTCATTACTAATAATATAAAGCTTTTAAAAAAATTGCAGTTAACTTTTCTAAACAAAATTTTTAAAAATATCTAAAATTTTTAAAACAATATTATTAATATTATAATTATTAATATATTGTCAAAACTATCATGTTACGTTACACACAAGTCATGAGTATGATTATAAATTATAGATAATAATAGAGCAGTTGGTGAACCATGTTTAAAATGGCTAACCAGTTTATAATGTGGTGTTACTAAGAAAACTAAAATAAAAGCGTACTCAAAGATTTAAGTATTTGTGCTATCTACACAGATTTCCCAAACCATTACAAATTCAGCTCAGTGCAATTAACATCCTTTCTTTCCAGTTAATTGAAATATCAAAATATAATAAACAAAACAAACACACAGCTGAAGATTTCGTTGCAATTTCTCTATAGCACTAATAGCAGTGCTGTCCAACCTTTTCCTATATGCGGGCCAAAAAGAAAAATTGAAAACCATTAACCAGAGGGCTGCAAATGACATTTCAAAAGAATTTTTTTTTTATTTTTTAGAAAATTATTTTATTTTAATACTTCTTACCTTATGCCCAAAGAGTCATATAACATTACCAGCTCATTAGGAATAGAAATAAAGCGAAGAAAAACAGTAGCCCTCTTAAATGAAATATTTCGCTTTGAACTGTACTTGCTGTTCTTAATTTGAGGTAGTTATCAATATCACCTACTCTCATTAGATTTTCTAAATGTTCACCAGTCAAAACATTGTGTTTTTTGGACTTGATGTTAGTCATTACAGAGAATCAAGTTTCAATGATGTAGGATGCTTCCAAAAACATAGTTAAAATTTTGTTACATTTCCATATTTGGAGAAATTAATCAGAAGAAACGTACATCATCCAGAATTTATTTGGCTATGCATTTTGTTTGATTATAAACAAAAATAATTTCAGGAATAATTTCTGTCTCACCATTCCACCCTGGCTGAATTAACTACAAACACATCGTGTATCTTGCTTTCTACCCATTAAACGTCTCATACTCTTTTCTGAATATCAGGTACTTGTTCCCAACGTCACAACAATACAGGATGGACACATACTCTCCCATACCTGGCTAGACTACCTGTTAAAAATATGTTTTTCACACTGCCCAACGCTGTTATATATTGAGACACCCCAGCTCCCATCTGGATTACTCTTACCGAACATTTTCCCTGTCATATTATCAGCCCAAAAAGCACAGTAGTTATGTCGCAGTGCTAACCTATCTATTTCATCTAACTTGGTCCCATTTATCGGGAGATGAACAACTAGCCACACATCAATTTCCTTTTGGGTTTCCCTACTCATCTTTCCCAAGGCCTTCAGTAATTATATCCGAAGCCGCGTGAAGCATACAATGTACAAGCAACAGAAAGATGTCACCCAGGTTCCCAAATGGTTGCTTTGCTGATAAACTTAACATAAATTAATGCTACATGTCAAGCCATATCATTCCTTAGCTTTTGTGACATCCCCCTTTTCTATGTTACAATTTCTCCAGTGCTCTCACAACCTTAGATGGGCCATTTAATATCAGCTGGTTGGATGGCACTACTCTACAACATGGATTTGTTGAGCGCAAAAATTTGGTATATATTCCTCAAAAATAAAAGTTTAATTTGGATTTCAAAACAGATTTCCTAACTTTCTGGCTCATTGATCCATAAAGTAATTTATTCTTAAAAGGTAGGAATGTATTCTTAAGAAATAAAGGTTCAAATGACACATAACTTTATTCCTGGTTAAAAAAGACTTAAGCACTTTGATACATCATGCAATAAATTCACATTGAAAAATATAAATAACACTTCCCTCCACTTTTGTGAAAATCAACACACAGAGGAATTCAATAAAGACTAAAACAAAGGACGAAACAAAACATTTTAACCTTAATATGAATAAGAATTTTGTATAAAAATGTGACTTAAATTTAAAGAACAATTTTAAATGCATTGTTCGAAAAATCCCTATTTCAACATATCTCAACTATTAGCTCTGCTAAGCAATAAATAGCCAAAATAATGCCCCATGTAATCAGAAATTAAAATGCAATTATAATAATCAACTAATTAAATGAATCAATTACTTTGATAAAATACTTTGTAAGTACTACTTTTAAAAGGAAAAAACTTTTTTGGAAGAGAAAAAAAAGGGGTCTTTAGGAAGATGATATGATGATGAATACAACTTGTGGATATATTAAGTCCACCAATCAAATACTTTTAAGCTATGTAAAACTATGTGGTTGAAAATTATGAAATAGTGTATGTCTGCCCAGTAGTAATTTTCTAGTAGAACAATAGTAGCATTAACAAAAATATTTAACATGCATATCAAGATACCAAAAACATGTCACCTAACATTAGCACTAATGAACGTTTCAGAGAGAAGCACACAATCAATCATCTTAATAATAAAGAATATTACAACTTTTATGTTGATCTTTTCTCTTGTACCAGTAGCAAGTATTTTATTTACATAAATTTCTTTCATAAATAAATATTTATTTCACACAACATTCTAGAAGCTCAAATTTTTAAAAAGTATACAAATCACTTTAAAAAATCTAAACCAATAGCACTGTTTTTGAGGCCTGTAACAAATTTCATCACAATTTGTTTTACAGAACAGTGGAATAAAAAGCTAAATATCACACTGCTAACAAACAAATATAATTTTTAGGCTGATTTTTAGAAAAAAAATCTTATTGGATAAGACTAAATTAAAAAGCACTGCAAATAAATAAAGGTTACTGATGATGAACAATGTTTGAATATAAATTGCCAGAAGTTTTTTCCATTCGTGTTGCTGCAGATTCTGTGCTCCTTTCATGCTTCTTTCTAGCAGCTTTATGAACCTTTTCCAGAAACTCGTGCACACCTAAAGGAAGAATCATACACAAAGGACAGAATGAAAAAACCAACAATCTGTCATTTACTTCACTTAGTCCATGAAACAATTAACTAGCTTCAGTTGTGCTACAGAAGGACATTTAACTAACAAGATTATAGAACTTATTACAACAAACGGATTGGACAAAGAACTCCCATCCAATGGAATGAAAACCATTCAAGATTGTTAATTATCTTGCTGAGCTTATGAATATGAGGCTAAATGATAAACTGACAGAACAAAATTACACATTTCTCAATTATATTTTATATTATGAATAAGAAAACTTTGTATTTATGGCACTGGTTTCTTACTTTTTTTAGCTAGTATAATTCTCGAGTTCAGTGCCCTGTTGATTCTTATCTCTGGAAACTAGCATTAGGTAAGCAGATGTTTCTACATATTTTTATAAAATGCCTTCTTTCATAGATGGTGAAAAATGTTAACAACTCTACCTGTACTAGCTAACCAGTTGTAGCACATAGGAGGGAAATTGGTCTGTGGGTCATCAAAGTATGTCATGACATAATGAAAACCATTCTGCAAAATAAAATTATTTTATTTCATTTAAAGTTTCAGAGTAAGGCTTTTTAAGTTGTAATTTTTGGTGAAATGCATTGAAAAATTCAATATAAAAAAAATAAGTTATATTTCCATTGTTAAAAATGATAAAGGGAAAGAATAACTTGGTGGTTGATAAAATTTATCAACCACCAAGTTATTCCTTCCCTTTATCATTTTTTAAATATCTTAAATCCTCATCACAAATTCTTTAAATGCCAATGATAAATTTACAATAAGTCTTTACCACCTATTTATAGCAACTTTTAAAAAAATAATATAAATGCACCTCATCGAATGTAGTGTATGGCTTAATAATCATCTGTGAGCAATATGTTGCAACCCTTACACAGGCATCAGTCTGTGGACAGCTGGGATGTTCTGTTGAGCGGGCTGTAATTACCATTGTCCCAGTACTTACATCCACCTAATGTAACATTAACAGTTTGTGAATTTTTTTTTACATGTATTAATAATGCTATAAACATTCTTGTCCATAACACTTGCATTTTATTTCTTTTATAGAATAAGTTTTCAGGCAATGAACAATAATATAATGGTACACATTAAAACATACAGATGCTGCCAGTCATCAATCGAAGGCATCCTGTCAAATCAACATACTTTAAAAAAAACAACTTGTAAATGTATTATTTTATTTTCCATTTTAATACAATATAACTTCTTTTTAAAGTGAGAATTTAATATTTAATTAATCTTATCGAGTATCTTTAAAATAGTTGTACACACCTTGCAGCGACGCACATAGACATAGTCTCGTGGAAACATAGGATACTGGAGATGGCCAAAATTTTACAAGTTAACTTTCATATTATTGTGGCACACAGAGGTCACATATATTAACTTCTTAACCTTAATACTCATACACTCTAGAAATAGAAACGTAGGTTAAACGTTGGGATAAATGGGAATCAATTGCAGAGAGATGCAGCAGCTCTTCTTAGAAAATACTTTAACAATAAATAGGTACGTTCCAAAATACAAATTTAAAATTGTAACATAGGTATTAACAATGTCTTTAACATTTTGTTTCTATATTATCCCAAGCAAAAAGCAGATAACATATTTTTAATGCTAAATAAAAACTTGTAATTGCTTAGCAGACATCGTATGACTTACAGGGAATTTGTAAATCCAATGAACAACTTCAGACTCTGTTTTATCATCTTTATCTACGATGTGAACTTCTAAAGTGTTCTTGTCCCAGTCTTTCCAATAATCAACATCAACCTGTTGCAAGTGAATTTAAATAAAAACTGATGGATATATCCTTTCATACATGAATATCTATTGTAACATATTGTTCTTAACTTCAAAAACACAATATAGTAAAAATAGTACTTTAACATTTAAAAAACTTTCTTAAAAAATAGTAGCAATAATAGTTACCTGGGTATTGTAGAAAGCCCTTGGAGGAATATCACTAAACTCTCCAAATACTGAAAAAGTATGTACAATTTTTTATGAAATTAAAATCATTTTAATTTAAGTTATCCCAAACACTGAAAATATTTTTAAAACCAGCTATGAGATTTTAAAAAAGATATATCAAAAACAGCACAAATTGTTGATTAATTACCTCTGTATTGATAGAGATTAGAGTTAGGAATTAGACGACGCCAGATTTTGAAATCAATATTATCCACCACTTTTTCCCATTCATTTTGTTGATTTGATGTAGCTTCAACTTCAATATTTCGATTTGTCTTAACATTCAAGGCCACAAGCTTATTTACCTCTTCAACTTCTTCACAGCATCTGCCAAATATAATATGTAAATTATTTGCTAAACAGTATATTTATAGCGATGCAGGCCCATCTATTAAAATAAAAACAAGCAAAAAATCACTTAATACAAGTATAAGTCAGACAAAAGAAATCAAAGATAAGTAAAACAAAAGCCTTCAAAAGTCCAACTACAAAATACATTCTAGGAAAATAGTGGGTCTATATTTGTTGAAAAAATTTTGTAGAAAGTAAATTTATTAAAATTAATTTTTTTTAAACATATAATATTTCAGTCATTGGTAAATTAAGTAAAAAAAAACAACAACTTTAACTTAAAAATGCAACAACCATATTAAGTAAAATTTATGGCGGCAGTGACATGCATACTTTCTACAAATAGTAGGATAATGCAACATTTTCAACATTTTTAACCCCCCCCCCCCAATTTTTTCTTCAATCGTCACAAAATTCAGAAACCTAAGCTCTCTCACCAACCCCCTCCCCTTAAATGTGTGACTTTACTTATGGATGGCCCAAAATATATATTAAGAAATATGGAAATTATAAATTAAAAGACGCACTGACTCAGAGTTATTAACTAGAGTATATTAGCAAGCAACTGTTATGTTTACATTGGAGTAAACTATTGCAAACTAAAATCTGAAAAGTTTAGGCGAACAAAATGCTGAATTTATTTAAACTTCATGACTTATTCTTGTGACACACAGGGGATCTTGAAGTAGGTCAAGAAATTACCATAGTTTGCAAGAAATGAACTCAGACCTGGTTACACTGTAAAACCCCAAAAAGTACAATATAGTCTCAAAATAGTAATTTACCATAAGAGTGAACAGGTCTATGGACTGCTTTATAACCATAAAAATGATGTGGTATTGGGAGATTCAAGATAATTGCAACAAAGGGGGAGGAAGACACATTTGGGCCATGATGATTTTTAAAGATTGACAGTAACAGGGACAGGAAAACTATAGTTTATCAAATTTTCTAATTTATATTTATAATTTCATTTAAATTATGGTAATTTACTAAACATACGATTATAGAAAAGATTAAAAAAAACAAAAAACATTGATTTTATTTAAAATTTCCCCATTTTACCCTTCATGAACATTTCCATTAGAACAATATTCTTTCTAACAACTTTCCAGGCGACTAAAAAGAGTTTGGTGTTTCTATATTTTTCTTGGCTTTTATGTTAATTTTCCCTTTCTCCTTGTTTCCATTTTTACAAAAATGTACTTTTATACAGGTATCTAATTTATAAGCTAATTTGCTGATAAAGGTGATCATCATGTTTACTTCTGCCATGAAAACTGGATGTTCAATTCTGCCATATAAACTGGCAGGATCATTTATGCTCTTTTAACCTGACAACAAAAACACATATGGCAGCTCTGATAGAAATACTCACTTTTTAAGTTCTTCATCAGTGACCCTTTCTTTTTCCCACTGAAAGAAAGCTGCTGACAACAACGCTATCAATGGCCGACTTTTAATGCTCATATTTTTCTTGATTGTGTTCATCAATAATTGTTCCCCATAAATTCGCTGATACAAAACAAGAATTTGAAATGCTCTTCTAAGCCGCAAAGCAGCAACACGATTGCATTGCTGGGTCAAAACAATGCTCATCAAGTTTAATTTAGTGCTTAAGTTACTGATTATAAATCGAAGCTTCTCATTAGAGTTTTGACCCAGGAGAAATCTTGATGAGCTATCAGCAAAGGAGTTAAAAGAGATTTGGGAACACCTGTGGCATAAAGATGACAGAACATTGTTTGATTTAACAGTTCCACTTCCTAAAAACTTTGACAATTTTTTAAAAAATATCATCTTGCTTAGGTAAAGATGTCTGTTTAGTTCTTTTATTTCTGCTTCTTAGGCTTTCCTTTTTTCTGCTTCTCAATCGATTTGAAAGTGGAGAAAAACTTGTGGATCTGCCACCTTGGGAAAAAATAGTCACTTTTAAAAAAAAAAAACTTTATATAAAAGACAAAATGTAGATTTAAAAACCTATTACCAAAAAATTATTAATTTTTTTTATTTTATAATGGAATAAAACTTAAACATTAAAACTAATCATAATTATGATTTATTTATTTATATCAAAGATTATTAGGATAAAACTTCAGAATAAACTTCAATTCACCCTTGTGTCATGTCATTTCTAATTTATAAACAAAGGAGAGCTAATTCAATTAAAACCATCATTGTCATAAGGATAAAGATCTTTGTCCAATAATGTATATATATTGAAATATTGAAATTAGATATTAGAAGAAGCACTGACATTGTAACTTTAAATGATATCTGGGATATCATCCTTCCTTACAACAAACTAAAATAAACTGAGTAAATAGTTGGGCTGAGTAGGTGTCGTTTTTTTTGTCCAGGTATCAGGTCAGAGTATTTTGAGATTATACCCAGAGGATCCGAGTCTGGGTATTATAATTCTGGAATTATCTATAGAAAATCAGAAATGTGTTGCAAAGTGGGGGCAAAGTGAAAACTGCATATGTAGAGCCAGTAGTGATCACAAATGCATCAAAGGTAAGCCTGATCGATTGAAGCCTTGTGATGTCTGTTCCATTTCTAGACTTAGTGTCAAGTATTTACAACTTGCAACAGGTCAGCCTTGAATTTACAATCTAGAAGCACTAACTATACTTGCGACAAAAGCTGCATTTCAATGTAAAATAAAAACTAAATTCTAATTGCGTCATTTTAACCAAAAAAATTTCTTTCTTTTGTATCCACTCCATTTCATAGTCCATATAAATATAAAGGAAGTAAAGTGATCCTGTTGTTTGGTTTTGATTGATTTATTTTTACACAAGGTACAAGTGTTTAATCAAAAAAGTAAAGACAATGATGTAAAGAGGAACTAAGTCTCCAAATGGTCTAAAAAATATGTGAAAACTAATCTGAATTTGACGAAACAGAATAACTAACAGTAACAGATTAATGTTCCTGGCAATGCTTCGCACCATTCACTTGTCGGATATATATAATTTTATTTAACCACCCTATCTGGTTCCATTACATGACATTGGCTGTGGTCCTGGTATTTCCAGGTGTACCAGGCTGAGCCCTAGTAAATTAAGGAAATTAGGTAACTGAGGAGAAGCCATACCATTTCTAAATTTAAATTTTAATAGGCCAATAACCACAAATTTTGGGAGGCTTTGCTTCTTATAACCTTCATGTTATTGTAAATCAAGATAACCTCAGAAAACAGTGCAGGATAAAGATGAGGATTAAATTTTTCAGTTTAAGTTTTAGCCCTAAATACTAAATGCCCTAATCACTTAAAAAATCTGTGCCACTGCCCAACATCCTGCAAACGAAATCCCCATCTCACACTCATCCGTCCACAACTAGAATATGGTGCAATAATCTGGGACCCATACCTGAAGCAAGACGTGGACAAAATGAAGCGAATACAACACAACGCAGTGCGCTTCATCGCAAGCGACTACAAATCCACCACTCCTGGCTTCGTCACCGACCTCTTAAAAAGATTTGACATCTCCTCCCTCAAAGACAGACAAGAAAAGCTCTGTCTAACATTTCTCTATAAAGTGGTCAAGGGGCTAGTGCCGGCCATTCCTGCTAACACGTATCTAACCCCACAGAAGCCAGGTCGCTTAATCAGAGCCTAACGCATAATAAACACTGACTTCACCTCTGACAACTCCATGAGCAGTTACATCCGAACAATGATAAATGCTTCACTGTGCCTCGGTGTAACACAGTTCAATATAAACATTTCTTCTTCCCACAAACAATAATTGCTTGGAACCAACTAGACAATGCTGCCGTGGACTCGAAATCAATTGAGAGTTTCAAGGCTGCCCTGGCACCCGCTAGGAGCGGTTAGGATAGCCGCATCATTTCCAAACCGTTACACGTATGCCAGTACTTCAGCGGTTCTCAACCTGAAGGTCGCGACCCCTTTGTGGGTCGCGGGACTCTTTTCCAGGGGTCGCCTAAGACCATCTGAAATCCTATATCCTTACAGCTATGAAGTAGCAACGAAAATAATTGTGTGGCTAAGGGGTCACCACGACACGAGAAACTCTATTAAGGGGTCGCGGCACTAGAAAGGTTGAGAACCACTGCAGTACTTGTTTGCAGCAACGTTAGTCTATTAGAATCAGAACTATTAAAAACTTTAATTAAAATGTTAAAAGATCACACGGCCCTGCATTAGTCTTATTCTAATTATTTTTGTGTTTAAGCTTCATTTCACCATTAAAATTTAAATATAGTATAGCCTAAAATCTAAATATTGAATTTTGGCAATTTTTTATAGACCTCGCCTAAAAAAATGGTCTAATCACAACTCAATCAGATGATCAGTCACACGAAATTTCTTAGACTGAAGATGATGAAGCAAATCAAATGAATGATCAAAATGAGTACGAGTTAATTTATTCACACTAATCTCACTAAGTTAGTGTGAGATTTAATTTACCAATTCTCAATTTGATTTCATCATACATGCAACTTGTTATTCCCAAGGCTAAGCTAAAAATAAATAGAATGACTTTTTGATTAGACTAGAATGAGAGGGAGTTATTAAGACTATTAATTATTAATATAATATTAATATTAAGAGTAAGCTGAGCAGGTCTACTCAAATTTGTAAAAGTCAACTATCATTTTATTCTATTCTGACTAAAAGTCTACTCTATCATTTTATTTTATTGGGACTTGCCCTAGCCAAAATATTTTTTTTGATTTTATTTAAATTAGGCAGGCCACTGAATGATACTGTATCATAATCATAGTATAGTAATCAATCACTGTACAGTAGACTTGGCCTAAATAATAAATTTCCAATTATCACTCAGTTTAGGGCTAGAGTTTGCAAAACAAGTTCGAAGTCGTCAGTGGGCTGAGTGGTCGTGGACTTCAAAATATAAATAGTAAATCGGAATTTATTAATAAAAATAGTACTTCTTTTACTAGTCGGTGACTGACGGAGCCGAGGGTGTCAGTACTATTTACTCTAGTACTATTAAATACTCCAAAAGTAAGTCTCCACCATTCAATAAAATAATAATTGTTGGCTTACCCAAAGAATGAAGTGACTACAATTAGTGCATAATTAAAATATTAATTAAAACATCAAGTATAGTTTCCATTATTATTTCAGAGATCAGGTCAAATTGTAAGCTAGGTTACGGAAGACGGCATGGACATAGCTATGGCTCTAACAGTTGTTGACCTTGCCCTTCCTCCGGTGCTGCGTACCTTTTGTTCCATCGTGAAAAAAATGTATCCCCACAGCCTATAGGCCTACTATAATTGCATGGCGAAAGGATATTGATACAATTTTAACATTTAAAAAAAAATAATAAACTTTACTAACCACATAGCCTACTAGGTCGTCTAGACTATTTTGACGAGAGCATATCCAATACATTGGATCCATATTTACAAGTACTTGAAAAATGTTATTTAACAATATTTGTTCCTGTACACATTTCAAACCACTTAAAATTAGAGCTAGTGTAATTATTGTAAAGACAGGTGCTGTTTAAAAACCAATTATAAAATATGATTTTTTTTTATAATGGAATAAAACTTAAACATTAAAACATGGCCGGCTTTTAAGGTAGCGGCACCTTGGGTAGCACCTGGGGCGTCGTATGGTTAGGGCGCAATCAACGATCTTTAAAAAACAGAGGGGGAAAAAAAATTTCATAAACATTGACTGGTGATTACATTATGTTAACAAATTGAAATAAGTGTAAATTAAAATGGTTATATAAGTTTTAGCTATATAAAGTTTTAACTTGTTGATTAACAAGCTAAAGGTGCAAATAAAAAGTTTTTCCTACAATTATTTTTATTAAAATAGATCAGCACAAAGTAAAATGTATTTATATATTTATTTATATTATAATTCACTTTTTGTTTTTGTTTGGGGGGGGGTATAGAAATGTTGGCATAATTACTGAGGGGTGCATTGAAAGTTTAGCAGTGTTGCAAGGGGGTCAGGGGTAAAAAAAATGCTTTAAAATTGTTGACGTAATTAATGGACGTCCCCCTAGGAGCGCCAAAGTTAAGCTTCCCGTGGCACCAGCAACCGTGGGGCTGGCCATGCACTAAAACTAGGTTAACCTCGTAGATTCTCCACCACATCCTTTCATTTAGATCGATCCATTACTTTTTCGTCTTCAACTTATTTGACTCCGTCTTTACATCATCAATCCACCTCAGTCTTCAACATTCTTAGTAGCAGTAGCCTTAGGTGACCAGTGAGCCGCCTGCACTTGATTTCCCTTTGTAAACTACTTACGCATCCTCTCGAGGTTTTCTACCGAGCGCAGCCTGCCATTTTAATGGTTAACGGAAATTTTTAAAAAATATTTTTTTTTTCGGAGGATATTTGTTGGGCAGCAGTTTGTTCAAAAGTAAATTTGTTCCAAACGAAAGATTATTCGAAACGAAATAAAGGGGAAAAAAACAACAAAAATATTTTTTTACCATTTCTCACCCACGCTTTTCCTTTAAATCAAAATAATAATTATAATAATAATAAATATTTGTTACACAAATTTAATATCCGTTCGGAAAAATTTCCGTTCTAACATGTTTTAGATCGAACAAACTTCACTTCAAACAAATTTCGGTCGTACAAATATCGGATACGTTTTATGAAGCCTGTGGCTACGGTTAGGTATTCATACAATAGGTCAATTTTATTTTAATTTCAATTTTTTTTCTTTTAATTCTCAATTCATTGTTTCCCTGTCCAGGTCAGTAGGCCTACATTTTTATTATGCTTGTCCTCTCCTAAACAATGTTAGCGCTGCGCACTAATGGGTGGCCAACAAAGCGACCGCCCAAAACCCCGCGTGTTTGGGGCGCCAGGCATAGCCTTTGTAATATTATATATTATGAATATAGGCAGGCCGTAATTTCACACTATGGCAGTGGTCGGCAAATCGTGGTTCCCATGTGGCTCTTTAGCAACTAGAGTGCGGCTCAGCCAGTCGGCCACAAATCGATTTTGACTCCGAAAAACATGGTTCTTGACGGGATTCTTCAAAAGAAATTTGGCTCTCAAAATTTGTGTTAATCGTCCTGCTGCAGAGTTTTGGCTCTTGTGAATAATGAGTTTCCCTCACCACTGCACTCTGCGGAAAGGTGTGTGGGGGGGGGGGTCAAACCGCCATTTATGTATAAGGAAAGACCGCGATGTACTGAAAAAAAGGGGCTCTTAAAAGCGTAAATATCTCTTTAAATGAAAACACACCAAAACTAGTTTCATCAATTTAATGCCATGTTTGAAGTTGTAACTCAAACCGTAAGACACCAATTTTAAAAAAAAAATTTTTTTAATGTTTAGGAAAAGAACTATTTCTCTTTTGGTAACTAAATTAGTTTATTGTTTCTAGCAGATACACTTCAGAAATCCTGAGGCGTAGCGAGGGTGCTTGGCGCCCGGGGACAAGATCCATTTTAAAGCACCCCCTTTTCTTTTTTTTCAACTCTCAAACCCATTATTTTCACCAATAATATAATACCAAAGCACATTTTGGTACCCCTAACTTGCTTGCCTGCTTGCGCCTGGGGACATCTTTCCCCCCTGCTCCCCCCCCCTCACTACGCCTCTGCAGAAATCCCCTTGAAACCGGATTTTTAAACAAACTTAAGGGACCTCGTGCTCTAGTAAATTATATCTCCATTGAGAAAAAATTGCTTACATTCCAGAATGTAGGCCTAAATTCCAAATAAAGTGTAAAGATGTTGTTACGGGCGGTCTTTTCTGAATTTCTAAGCCATAATATAAACTAGTTATCTATTACTACTATTTACTAAGGCTAAATAGAGAGAAATGAAGCAGCCAGCGATCAACATCTCAAGTAACCTAAACACCGTTTTTCATTCAACAAAAGGCTTTTTAAAAAAATCAAGCAATTTTTAAAACATAATTTTTTCATATTTTGATTAATTTTTATTTTGCATTTGATTTATAATTTATTATTTCACCCCAAGAAATCCCGGGATCCCGGTATGAGAGGCACTTTTATTCCGTTTTCCCGGGATAAGTAGATCCCGGTAAATGAGAAACCCTAAGCATGACGTTTTCTTAAAAATACTCTATCGACCGGGGTAAATAATGTCAACGGTCTCGCTCATTTCAATTTGCCCAAGACACCGCGGCCCTCCTGGCGCCGGCCCTGTCAAAGTATTGAGCAGGTTTTCGGCTTTCTTGACTTTCTTGATGAGGACCCCTGTTTCACTTACATACATAACTATTGAGGTCTGAGGGTGGTTGGTTAAACTTAATGGGCCTTTTCGTTCTAAATAGTTGTTTGTTTTTTTGTGGTTTTTTTTGTGTTTTTTTTTTTTTTAAATCTCCATCTAGTGCTAAAACTTGGCATGTGTATAAGCCAGGTTTGTTTGTTCGGGACTTCAAGTTCCTTTAGAGCAGGGTTCCTCAAACTAGGGGGGGAGGGGGGTGGCAAAAAAAATCGATTAACTTTCTAGGGGGGGGGGGACACATTTTTTAGTAATGTTTTAATGTAGTTTTAATTTAATGTAGCGTATATGTATGGTGAACGAACTGACAGGACATCAGCTTAGTTACTTTCTCTTTATTTTCTTTTTACTTTAATAAATTTGTGTCTATTTTTGTCTAATTTTTTTTTTACCTAATCAATCCAGGGGGGGGGCCGCAAGTGCCCCCTTGCTCCCCCCTTGCGGGCGCCCATGCCCGTGGGCCAGATCCGACCCACCACGGTTCCTTAACACGGCCCGCCTGGCCGCCGTACTGTCACTCGGGTAATAATGTTGTGATCTGGGACTCGTGAAAATTCCCACAAGGGTGATGGAGTCGGCAATACATGGTAGGAAGACAACATATCTGCATTCTGCACTTCTGTGTAGGAAAGATGAGAGGGGAGGCGGTGGTGGACCAGCACACGCAGAAGAACCTGAATATTTCATCACAGTGAGCAAGAGTGCACTGGTAGGTTATTCGTAAAGGGAGAATTTGTTGAAGAATGACTTCTTTCTGTTGCCGAAGAGCTATGTCCAGAGAAAGTCGATTTATCTAGTAGAGTGAGTCCTGTCCGCGGAAGCGGAGTGTCTCCGAGGAAACTTGGGGGCGTCCACATGGGGCTTTGCCTCTTCGTGGCGTGCCAGTCTGGTAGCGAGGCTTTGTCCTCCCGAAGCTAAAAAACCCCGGCCACTGGCATGACTTCCAACGCAACGGGAGGAACACAATAACAGGATGACTTGTTGCCGTTAATGGACATGAAGTCTGGGTGGCGGTTAAAGCACACACCGATGATTTTAGCTACGCGGCCCTGAGAAAGCCGCTCCTGGGTGACCGTTTCGTCCCAGCTTTCGTGCCGACCGGACAACTCCCTGGTCGGTGGGGGGAGGTAACACAACACCTTTCCCCGGAGAGGTGGCAAAGCCGTTTTGACCCAAGGAGAGTGGACCGCTAACGCGTTGAACGCAGTGTTTTCAGTCGACCGGACGTCCCCCGCCAGGGGTGGGGGGGAGTTCCCGACATGCTTTCACACGGTCTAACGGCGAGGAGACCCGGCGTCTGGCCCTTGTGGCGGTGTGCGGGGGGGGGGAGGGGGGAATTATGAGCTCGCGC